ACAAGTTAAAATAGACAAGTTGTACTAGATGGGCTCTAAGGTCCCTATGATATTATAACTCCTTCAACTTAGTTCTATCTTGATCTTAAAAAAAAAAAAATCTCTTTCTGGCTCATTTGAGTCCCTTTGAGGGGACACTTAGAGTCATTAAGGAGCATTTCAGGAAAGCATTTCAGAAAGCATTTCAGGATTTGGTTCCGGAGTAACAATTTTGATAGAGAATTCTGCGTGCATCAGTGATGTGAGTATCTTAAGTTCATAACATCTGCATTTAGCGGGGCAATCATAGTGGAGTTCTATGAACATTTATTAGAAGTCAGAAGTTCAGGGTTTGAACCTAATTGGCCACATGTTAACTAAGTGACCTGCTATGAATTATTTCAGTTTTCTCATCTGTAAAAAGATAACCACCACCAATAAGTAGCCTCATCTTTTTTTGCTAACTGCCAGAGTTCACATAGAAGAGATACATCCCCCTCCCACGTACTCCTTACATTCCAAAGGCAACTAAGATTGGATTACTTAGCCATCTTTAGGTTTGAAAAAAAATGATATGTCACATTTTATGGAAACACAAACCAGAGCTTCCAAACCAGCAGGCCCTAGTACCACACAGTGCTACGTGCGGGTTACTGGTACTGGACACATTGATCTGTTAGTCAGCCCCAGTCAGGAGGGGCCAGGAGCTGAAGCTCTCAGGGAAAGTCTTTCACTCATCTCACTATGTCATATTATCACTTTCTATGTGTGCTATTATATGAAAAGATTTTTGAAAGATTGCTGTTGTTTATTCTGCACCATGGAAATATTAACTGATCTTATTTAGCTTTGAAATTTTACTTTGCAAAGACACTCATATCTATAGTTATAACCATGTACATCTGCCATCCTTTACTCAATACAAAGATGCTGTTGATTACAAGTAGGAGCTGTTCTTTAGATGTATTAATTGATGTAATTTCTTCCTGGAGTTTTGAGAAGAAGCTGTTTACTTATCTATCTCCCTTCATGAGAATGGAAAAACAATTCCCAGTTCCTAGCATGGTGCCTTGCACAAGTAGGCATCCAATAAATATGTGTTGAATGAATGAGTTGTACAAATGAATGAATAAATGTATACAATATCATCCATCATTCCCAACCAATCCCACTTATAACGAATGGCAAACATGTGAAATTGAGATAGGTGTGAGAAGAAAAAGGAGGACACAAACTGGTACCCTTGACCTCATTAACACCAGGCTTTTACCAACGGAGGTAACGAATCATATGCATAAATGCTTTACCTCAAAGTATATATCTGTATTTTCATTGCTGATATCCTATGAAGGTTAGGGGATTCTTCAGTTTAGAAATTAGATAAAGGGACTCTATACTTTTGCCACAACATTATGCTCAGTGAATGATGAGGTGGTTCCAGTGTTCTTCTTAGGGCAATAAAGGAAAGAATATTTATTTCTAATTTCTAAAAAGTTTCTAAAAACACTAACATTATTGAATAGTCTGCTCTAATGTCTAAGCCTCAATCATATAATAGTAGAAGGAATTGATATTATATAGTATAGCCCCTTCTACCCACTTCCCTTTGCTAACTGATACAGTTCTGATAGAGGATATGCAGCCCCCTTGGATTCGACAGACAGCCAGGATTGGCTTATGCAGGCATCTTTATATCTAGCTTTCTATAGAATCTGAAAGACTTTCAGTTTCCAGTGCCGCCAAATCTGTCTCTATCTTCCTAGGCAGCTGTGATTACATGTAGGCACGGAATCATAGTCCTCAGAGGCCTACCATAGCATATTTCAGACAGCCTGGGAAACCCAAAACAGAAGGTGACAGTGATATAATATGATTAGGCAGTAAGTAAAAGGCAGAGATTGATGGAAAAGAAGCCAGCTGAAAGATTACATATATTTGAAAAGATGGCTGGGAAAAGGATCATGCAAAACACAAACTTTTCACGTTTTAAACACTAGAGATAAGAAATTGAACGTTTCTAACTTTGGATGTGCACCACAATGGATTCCAGACAAATGCATTCTCTATTGCTGTAGCCAGGGCAAAAGCACTTCTTGCTCTGCATGGCTACAAAGCAGGCAGAGTAGATTATCCGAATACAGACTGTAAAAGGAAACATTTTCCGGATACAGCAATACATTTTCTTCGGGGATTTACTTGAAACCTTGTATGAGATGCAAGGCTTAACAACATATTCCTTTAACTTTGGGTTCTAGTGTTTAATACTGATCCATTAGTATCATGTAGGGGCTAAGAGGGTGGGGACAGTAGCCAAACTGCAAGTCACAAACTGCTGTGTGACTTTTGATAAGCCATGTTGAGTCTCCAGTCACCTCTTCTATAAAATAGTGATAATAATACCTAATTTATATGGTAGTGCTAAGGATTGAGTTAATCCATCTGAAGCACTTAAAACACAGCCTGGTATATAGTAAATACTCAAGAAATGTTAAATATCATTATGACTATTATATATCAATTATAAAATGTTGTAGAAATATTAAACATTATTATCCAGGCAAAGCCGGAAAAGCCTTTTGCTTCACCATTATTGGCCCATTTCTAAGAAGGAGGGAAGGTAGCATTTCCCAATCAATAAATTGCTTTGGTATGTAATAATGATAGTGATGTCTAGAGATATGAGGGAAGAAGAAAGGCTTTAATATAAAAATAAGAAAATGATATAGTAGAATGTTTACTGTAAAGGGAGTCTGATGACCTGGATTTTACTCCTAGCTGCTAACTCTTGGGCAGGTCAACTTCCCTTCCTCAGCTAAAAAACTGAAATAAAACTTTTTTACTCCCTTTTGCCAGGTCTTCTGGATCAGCACTGCATCTTACAAAAGTCCCTGAGATATGATCAAGGCTGGGTTTAGCCCGAGGCCCATTGCAGGAGAGGGCAGTGATTAAGAAAATGAACTTTGGAGTCACACTGTCTTGAATACAAATCAAGACTTTGTGAGCTGTATAACTCTAGACAAGTTACATCTCTCGAAGCCTCAGTTTTTATCTCTATTAAATAAGAATTACGGCACCTACCACACAGAGTTGCATTGATATTTAAATGAGAAAATGTAGAAACCAAACTTAGCACAGTGCATGGCGCATAATGAGTGCTTAATAAATACAAACGAGGTACTGATGATGGCATAAAGCAGGCATCCTCAAAGTACAGCCTGTGGGCCACATGCGGGTGTTTTTGCCCGTTTGTTTTTTTACTTCAAAATAAGATATGTGCAGTATGCATAGGAATTTGTTCATAGTTTTTTTTTAAACTATAATCCGGCCCTCCAACGGTCTGAGGGACAGTGAACTGGCCCCCTGTTTAAAAAGTTTGAGGACCCCTGGCATAAAGGGTCTCACTAAATTATCTATAGTCTATGTTTATAATAAATATCACGTTCCTTTTCACCTGTCACAATAGTATCTTCATTAAAAAACAAAAGGAAGGACAATGCACATAGAGCCCTGAGTGTCCTAGTTCAGTACATGCTCTTGGTTGTCTATTGGTGAGTTCCCCTAGGTGTGAAAACAGAGAGGCTTCCAAACATAAAAGCACATGACAGCTGTGGGAGTTAGAGTTTAGGCTTCCCTGGGAACTAAAGGTCTGTCAGATACTATAGAAACAACCTGCTTGACCTTTTGTGAGTGTTTGGCTCCAACAATGTGCACAGCATCTGTGCAGGAAAACCTCCTTGGTCACCTCCAGACATCACATTATAAACTGTACAGCACGTCAACCGCTGTGGCTTTAGAGCTGGCAGGAGGTGTTCAGTTCTAGGATCATGGGGCCCCAGGCTAGCAGCCAGAATATCATAGCTGGAAGGTTGTATAGTTATTTTCCATTTCTTCCACCACATCCATTGTTCGCCCTTGTCTGCCCTACTCTATGCCCAGGGAAGCTGAAGGCTGTTGACTCTCTCTCCTGCTTTTCCCTCTCGCATCTGTTTGAGTTTCACTGGGGATCGGGAGAGAGAGAGAGGCAACTGGCAGGAAACCAGAGGGCATGAGTTGAGAAGGGTTAGGCACAGGGGTCCTCAGACTTTTTAAACAGGGGGCCAGTTCACTGTCCCTCAGAACGTTGGAGGGTCGTTGGAGAGTGCGGCGCACATTCCACACATGCGCACTGTGGACCCAGGACTACTCGGCTGCTAAGCAGGACAGGCAGCGACCACAAAAACACCCGGTGGGCCGGATAAATGTCCTCATCAGGCCGCATGTGGCTCACAGGCCATAGTTTGAGGACGCCTGGGTTAGGGTATTTATCCCGCCTCCTCCTCCCCTATCTGCCATCCCTAAAGATTCCTTTAAGGCTGTAGCTCTTGACAGCCCCCCTTTGCTCTTGCCAAGTTCCAGTGACCTTGCTGCTTTCCCACTGCAGGCCTGGGGATAATTAACAACTTCCTCACCTATTGCTTCCCTCCAACCTGCTCACACCTTTGTAAATAATCCCTTCATTCAACTGTTTTCTATTCAACCTTTGAATGTAGCTTATTTCCAGCTAAACAACCTTAGGAGCATTTGCACATCCTGCACTGGACACATTTCTCTCCTCTAGTGGCTCTCGCGATGTAAACCAGGGCAATAGTAGCTATTCTTTGTAAGTACTGCTACTGGTAATAACGGGCCTTTGTTCCTAACAGTTAATAATATTTCTATGTCCCTGAAATAATTTTTTCTATGTGCTATTTAAATCTTTATCCTTCTTCCCATTTTCTCTTAACAGTTGAGGTAGAGGGAAATTTTATTTACTTTTAGCAATTGGAGAAGGTGGGACTGCTTCAGACACCTGCTGATGGAAATGCATGAAAACCAGCAGTAGATGGGGGTCATATCTCTGAAGGATGTAGTTATGGATTTGCTGATTCTTCTCAGTGAAATATCTAATACCAAACACTAGTAATAAAATCTCTCCCATTTCCATATCCTCAAGTCTCCTATTGACTGAAGTAAAAAATGCACGTGACACCAAGCTGAGTTACCTTGTACCATACAACATCAGGCTCCTGATCGGACTTTTTAAAGTCATCCATGTCTGGGCAGGAGATCTCTTTTCTTTTTGTGACTTCAGATTTTTCTAAATAGCGGATCCTGCTGTTGTAGCACAGGCCGGATTCATTCTCTGCAACAGTCAAGGACATTGACACCTTCATGCAATATGTCGAGTTTCTGTAGGAACAAAGAAATAGCAAAATGGCTTTATTGGGTGATTTCAACTTTGTACTCTATATATTTCAAGAGTGTTGACTTTCCCACTTAGGGCCTTTCCTAGAAATCAAAAACATCATCACAACAACACAGAGTAGTTTTCTACTTCAAATGACAGGGAGATATGAAACAAAATGCTGATGCAGACATCTCTGGCCATCAGGAAAGTACAGAGCTACACAGAGGAGCTTCCATTTTCTAAACTGGAAGACAGCTAGACTCCATTTCCAGGAATAATCATTGCTGTATTGAAACTCTGATACTGAAAACCCATGAGAAAGTGTCTCTATGACTAGAGCAATAGCCATTTTTGCTCTGCCCCTGTGGCCAGCCCTTTAACAGTTATTCCAGGGGTCACTGAATTTTATTATCGGTTTCTAAGCCAACATTTCCTTTTACAGAACACATACTAAAAACCAGTGTTTTTAAAGGCCATGAATCTAAAGCCATAACAATAATAATAATAATAATAAAAGTATCACAGAAGAAGGATACCATTTAGCTCAATCAATTTTGCCCTTTTGGCCATGTTTTTAATACTTCAGTGGTAAATATTTCTAAGCCTTCTTGCTCCCTACAAAGCTATACATGATCTAGCCCATCATAACATTCTCTCCTTGACGGAATAGGATACAGCCACACTGGCACTTTCTCTGTTACTTAACACACTAAGCCTATTCAAACCACAGGCCTTTGTACTTGCTCTTCTCTCTGATATTTCTTTGTCATCAGAGGAAATGGGTTTTCATTCTGTCACCCAAGCTGAAGTGCAGCAGCATGATAGCTCACTGTAGCCTCAAACTCCTGGCCTCAAGCAATACTCCCATTTTAGCCTCCTGAGCAGCCAAGACTACAGACACGTGCCACCATGACTGGCTAATTTTTCAAATTTTTATAGAAATGGGATCTTGCTATGTTGCCCAGGCTGGTCTCAAACACCTGGCCTCAAAAAAAAAAAAAAATACCTGGACTCAAGTGGTCCTACCACATCAGCTTCCCTGAGTAGCTGGGGTTACAGGCATGAGCCAACATGCCTGGCTCCTCTCTGATCTTCTAATATTTATTTGGTAAGTACAAGCTAATAAGGGCAAAGAATTTGTTGTTCTTGTTCATCACTCTATCTCTGAAATCTAAATGAATAGATAGTAGGTGTTCAGTAAATGCTAGATGATTAAATAAGTGGGCATCAAATGGTATATATTTGATAGCTATGTCATCTCTTCTCCAATTTTCCATCAATATGGCACAAACCCTCGTTTCATCAGATTCAGGTATATGGCTGGTCAAATACCACATTCCGTATATAAATATAACCCAGATAACTAGCAGGTATTCTTAAACCAGCACTAGGAGGAAGGTTAGCCAAGTTTTGTGCATCACCATATTGGCAAAGAACAGAATATATTGGCTACATCTGGGAGACACAGAGGACTGGGACAAGGTAAGGAGATAGAGGGAATCTAAATGGTCACAGTTATTAAAAGGTATCTAACACCGAAGAAAGAGAATCACCTCTGCTGGATATCCAAAGTGTTCTGAGCAGTTCTTGATGTTACAGACTTTGATCATATCTGCTTCATGGTGATCTTCCATAGAGGTGAAAGAGACTTACTTGTTAAATATCTTCCCATTATTATGTTATATCCCCATGGAAAGGAAACTGTTGACCTGAGTTCTTAATAATAGAGGGAGTAGGAGGAATGTCCAATGCCATAAAAGAATCTATCTCAAGTATATTTAGCCCTGGGCGACCAGTCTAGTATAGTGGTTTCTGAACAAAGCACCAGCTTTGATCTAAGATCCTGTAGGTTCAACTAGCTCTCTGACCTCCAACAAGTTATTTAACCTCTCTGAGCCTCGGTTTCCTCACCTGAAAAATGAGGATAAGAAGTTCTTTATGGTGGCTCCATTGGAGGGTAGAGCAATGAGTTCCTTTCACTTTACAATTATGAGCAAAAACAGGGTTTCATTTGTACTTAGAATAATTATAACAATGGACCACTTCAGACTGTTGTATTAAATTAAATAATATATGTAAAATACCTAATGCAGTATCTGGCACATAGCAGCCATGCAATAAATTGTAGCTGTAATTAGACTGGTAGGTACTGCCAGCATTATTCTGCATATTGTTCACATATATATATATAATAGTTACATATATACACATATGCGTATATGAACACTCATATATGTACAATCATAAACATATATAATAATTAAAATTTATATGTGATATAATAATCATGAACAATCACCAATATATAAAAACACCGCAGTGGCAGCAATGGGTTAAGATAGACTCCTGGGTGAGGAGTGCTACTTGCCAGGGAAGAGTCTAGAAGCGATCTGCTGGGCAAAAGGTCTAGTATTAGAGAGCCATGTAGGTTCGAAAGAATCCAAAAGAAACACTGACTAAGGCACAAAAAGAAGTGAATCAAGAGAAAGCAACTAAGGCAGGAAGGAAATTTCAGGTACTATGAGTATTAGCTACTAGGCAAAGGCCAGAACCTTGACGATCAAAGGTCAGTAAGAGTGTCACTAAACCATCCGGGAGCTTCTTAGACAAATGTTTTCTATAATGAAACCCACACCTCTAAATGTGGTTTCCAGGCACAAGACAACAGATATTCTTATGTGTTCATTCCCCAACGCTTCCAAAGTATAATTTATTTTTTTTATTTCAGCATATTATGGGGGTATAAATGTTAAGATTACGTATATTGCTCCCCCAAGTCAGAGCTTAAAGCATGACTATCCCCCAAATGTTGCACATCTCACTCATTATGTTTGTATATACCCATCCCCTCCGCCCCCCTCCCACCTGCCAGACACCTGATAAATGTTATTCCTATATGTCCACTTAGGGGTGATCTGTTAATACCAATTTGCTGGTGAGTACATGTGGTGCTTGTTTTTCCATTCTTGAGATACTTCACTTAGTAGAATGGGTTCTAGCTCTAGCCAGGAAAATACAAGAGGTGCTATATTACTGTTGTTTCTAAAAGCTGAATAGTACTCCATTGTATACGTACACCACATTTTATTAATCCACTCATGTATTGATGGGCACTTGGGTTGTTTCCACAACTTTGCAATTGTGAATTGTGCTGCTATAAACATTCAAGTGCAATTGTCTTTTTTGTAGAGTGTCATTCGATCTTTTGGGTAGATGCCCAGTAGTGGAATTGCTGGATCAAATGGTAGATCTACATGTATCGCTTTAAGGTATCTCCATATTGCTTTCCACAGAGGTTGAACTAGTTTGCAGTCCCACCAGCAGTGTAGGAGTGTTCCTATCTCTGTGCATCCAAGCCAACATTTATTGTTTGGAGACTTTTTGATAAGGGCCATTCTTACTGGAGATAAGTGATATCTCACTGTGGTTTAGATTTGCATTTCCCTGATAATTAGAGATTTTGAGCATTTTTTCATATGTTTGTTGGCCATTATTCTGTCTTCTTTTGAAAAATTGCTGTTCATGTACTTTGCTCACTTTTTGATAGGGTTGTTTGATTTTTTCTTGCTGATTTTCCTGAGTTCTAAATAGATTCTAGATATCATCCCTCAATCGGATGTGTAGCTTGTGAAAATTTTCTCCCATACTGTGAGTTGTCTGTTTACTCTCTTGACAGTTTCTTTAGCTGTGTAGAAGATTTTTAATTTGATCAGGTCCCATTTATTTATTTTTATTGCTGCTGTGATTGCCTTTGGGGTCTTCCTCATAAATTCTTTGCCTACGCCAATGTCTAGAAGAGTATTTAAAATGTTTTCCTTTAGAATTCTAATAGTTTCACACCTAAGGTTCAAGTCTGTTACCCAGCGGGAGTTGATTTTTGTGAGAAGTGAAAGGTGTGGGTTTTGTTTCAATCTTCTACGTGTGGCTATCCAGTTTTTCCAGCACCATTTATTGAATAAGGATTCTTTTCCCCAGTGTATGTTTTTGTCTGGTTGTTGAAGATTAGATGGCTATTTGAGGATGGTTTTATATCTGGGTTCTCTATTCTGTTCCACTGGTCAATGTCCCTGTTCTTGCACCAGCTACTACCCAAGGTGACCTACAGAGTCAATGCAACCCCTTTTAAAATACCATCATCATGGCCGGGCGCTGTGGCTCACGCCTGTAATCCTAGCTCTTGGGAGGCCGAGGCGGGCGGATTGCTCAAGGTCAGGAGTTCAATACCAGCCTGAGCAAGAGCGAGACCCCGTCTCTACTATAAATAGAAAGAAATTAATTGGCCAACTGATATATATATAAAAAAAATTAGCCGGGCATGGTGGCGCATGCCTGTAGTCCCAGCTACTCGGGAGGCTGAGGCAGGAGGATCGCTTGAGCCCAGGAGTTTGAGGTTGCTGTGAGCAAGGCTGACGCCACGGCACTCACTCTAGCCTGGACAACAAAGTGAGACTCTGTCTCAAAAAAAAAAAATTAAAAAAAAAAAAAAATACCATCATCATTTTTCAAAGACATAGAAAAAATAATTTTACACTTCGGATGGAACCAGAGAAGACCCCGTATAGCAAAATCAATCCTAGGCAATAAAAACAAAATAGGAGGTATCAATTTACCAGACTAAAAAATATACTATAAGGCTATAGTAATTAAAACAGCTTGGGATTGGTGCAAGAACAAGGACATTGACCAAAGTATAATTTATATAGGCAATGTCAGCAGCATTTGCATTGATGTGGGGTGGCGATAAGGGCAGGGAATCTACCCTGGGGATGACTGCTGAGTTGAGAAAGTGTTTCAGCCCTCCCTAATCCTTACCTAGGAACTACCTTAGGCCAGGGCCCTGCATGCATACGCTCTTGCTCTGTCCCTGACATGAGAACATATGCTGACAAATTGTTTGTTAATCCATGAACAATTCTTAGTATGAAGTCATTGAAGACAACCAAGGTCCCTGAAACTCAAAGACAAGATCCGGTATGAGACCTGCTGTCACCACGGGTGACCT